TTAAAAAGAAGTATTTTTATTAAAATATGGAATATTATTTAAATATTAACGATATCTTCGGTCGGTAAGTGTAGGTTTCCATTTCAATAACAGCCCTTCAAAAGCAAATTGACAGTACCCTCAACTTCGGACTCATCTTCAGATTTAAAAATTGTTTACATTAACACCTCTATTATTCGAATTATCTAAAAAATTCCAATCGACTCTCCACTATTAGAAATGGCAAATAGTAAATGCATATTATATTTATAGTCATGCGCGCCATAGTTCGGAATATTTTATTTATTTAATCTATTATCAACAAATCAAATAATTTTATTTTACTAAATCATAGAGTAAAATTTATTTCGATAAATTGTGTTATAAACTCTCTGCATCTCTGCATTATAAACGTGCACGAAATATGCACTTCGTTGCATGCGAGTAGCTATATTTAAAAAGACAATAAATTGACAATGAATATTTGTAAATATTATGATTTCTTATGTTATCTCGTTTCACGTTACATAAATCATCCTCACAACTTATTTTCAGCGTTCTATCTTATGTTTTACGTAATCAAAATAACAATTATTCTATTCTACGTTTCAAATTATCAAAATAAAATAATACAAAATATTTATTTTCACGATACAGCTTCAGATTACCAAAATGGACCATCTCATTTCACGTTTCACACATTATCAAAATAAAATATTTGTTTCATTATTAAAATGATTTTATTATCAAAATGTCAAATTAGGACAATGTGATGTCCGACTTGAAGTACTATTTTATTCGAATGATTAAGAATCCATTACATAAAATAGTATTTCAAATATCATTTCCATAAATATTACCGAGCTCTGCTCGCAGCACATCCACTAATTTCCCGAACAGCAACGAGACCGTTCCCAACACAATCAGCCTAGCGAACGCAATCAACAGCGCCAAAAATTTTCGTTTCCAGGTGCCGAGGGGTCCGCACCGACCCGGCAAGGGCGCGTACTGGGCGCTCCACCCGGCAGCCCTGTCGATGTTCGAGAACGGGTCGCTGCTTCGCCGCCGGAAGCGTTTCAAGCTGCACAAGCCGGACAAAGAGCTGCTAAAATCGGAGCTGCAGGCGCTGGCATCGGCGATGCCGCCGCCGCACTCGGAGTCCTCGCCGGTGTTGTCGATAAACCCGAGCGTCCAGTCGAGCAGCCTAACAGTGGCGAACCTGTACCGTCTGCGGGACGATCTCCTCCGTTGGGAGCTCCAAGAGCACCGTCAGACCATGACTTCCGGCGGCAACAGTTCCCCGGGGTTCCCAGCGCCAGAGCCCGGGTCCAGCTACTACCTCCTATCGCCGGAGGTCCGACAGAGACTGGCCGGGACCGACGAGATCCTGCGCGGCTACGACAGCAACCTCCTGCAGACCGGAAACTGGAGCTTCCCGGGGTTCCAGGTGTCCCCGTACGTCTCCCAGCTGTCCTACTTCCAGACCGAGCTGCCGGACACCAGACAGATCTGTCCGGCGGCCACGGAGCCCAGCATCCCCGAGAAAACCGAGCCGAGAAGCTTCGTGGACGTGGCGAGGAGCTCCGCCGCGGATGACACCAAAATGGCCGCCGCCTGTTTGCCGCTCGAGCCCCTGCCCAGCCAGACCACGATCCAGCCCGAGCTGAAGAAGAAGAAGAAACCGTTCACCATCGAGAATATCATGGCGCCCGACGACGAACAGATCTCGAGGAACCTCGACGACTCCAAGAGGGGCCATCTTCTTGCACCGAGGCCGCTCTACGCCGCCGGTTTCCCCTTCGGACTCGCCAAGGTACCTTACGAAACTGCCACCTGAATCCAGGGACTTGTGGATCTGTGATCGCCGCAACTCGGTCTCGGACGTGACGCGTCGTGTGGTTCGTGAAGTTCTACAACGGGGTTGTCGAGATGGCATCCGCGCCGGGCAATACGGCGGACTGGGCTTCGGCGATGGGCTGCTGATGAGGTTGTTCCTTGTTCTTGTGTCAGCTGCGAGATTTATCGGAGTTCGGGAAATAGGTTGGAGTGGCGGGCGATGGCTGACGCGTTGGAGATGGTATGGTCATTATGCTGTGTGCTAATGACTATACGTCAATGTTCAACAGCAGATTCGGTTGTAAGGTTCCTGAGGCGATTTGAAGCAACTTTTTCCTTAGCGAAAATGCGATTCGCTGTCTGGTTCACGAGTTATTAACGAAAAACGGCGACCAATCAGAGTCGCGATGCGGCTGGCGCGAGGCGGCCAAGCCAACGAGCGGACGCAGTCCAGTTCCGGCCATTGGCTCGGCCGTCTCGCGTCAACTGGATCTCGCCTCTCATTGGTCACTGTTTTTCGTGAATAACTCGCGAACGAAGCCGCGGATCGCATTTTCGCTAAGGAAAAAGTTGCTTCAAATGGCTTCTGGAATTTCTCATTTCCCGGAAGTACCATNTCGAGATGGCATCCGCGCCGGGCAATACGGCGGACTGGGCTTCGGCGATGGGCTGCTGATGAGGTTGTTCCTTGTTCTTGTGTCAGCTGCGAGATTTATCGGAGTTCGGGAAATAGGTTGGAGTGGCGGGCGATGGCTGACGCGTTGGAGATGGTATGGTCATTATGCTGTGTGCTAATGACTATACGTCAATGTTCAACAGCAGATTCGGTTGTAAGGTTCCTGAGGCGATTTGAAGCAACTTTTTCCTTAGCGAAAATGCGATTCGCTGTCTGGTTCACGAGTTATTAACGAAAAACGGCGACCAATCAGAGTCGCGATGCGGCTGGCGCGAGGCGGCCAAGCCAACGAGCGGACGCAGTCCAGTTCCGGCCATTGGCTCGGCCGTCTCGCGTCAACTGGATCTCGCCTCTCATTGGTCACTGTTTTTCGTGAATAACTCGCGAACGAAGCCGCGGATCGCATTTTCGCTAAGGAAAAAGTTGCTTCAAATGGCTTCTGGAATTTCTCATTTCCCGGAAGTACCATGATTTTGGGACACCCTGTATTACAATTTTAAGAGGTGAGTCGAAGTTACCAGTCGAGTGCGAAGGTTTGAAAAATAACTTAACGTTGGTAACTAAATTGTCGGTTATCGAACTGGCCGACACAATGTAATTAAATCACCTGGAATCATTGTGGACCTTGATGACACAGAATTAGGGTACCTTCAGTCCATCGCCTCGCTCAGATCTTACCCAGAATTTAAGTATTGAGAATGCCGAATGTCGATCAGGTCAATGCAATCTAAAAATATCTTCCGGATTCGACGACCTTGAACAGATAGGCTGCCTGTATCTTCAGACCTAACCCAGACCTAACCCAGACCTAATCCAAACCTAACTCTGACCTAACCTAGACTTCCATTTGGCTAAAATGTTGTCCATCGATCACAACGAAACGTCGTTCCGGGATCATCGAGGACCTCGATGACATCTAAACTTCCGATAGCTGAAATGTCGAACATCGACGAGCTAATTTCGACTATCCGAATTAACCTCGACGCACCGCCGTTACCAAGATTGGAAGCTCCGTCAGCACCCGGCCCGGACCGCCATTTTCGTATCGCGGGAAAAGGCGGTCGGCGATTGTCCGCGACCTCGGTGCGTGGGTGTACATAAAAGTAAAACTCAGTATTTATCTATCGAACGTTCGTGTTCGTGTTTGATTTTTTTAGAGACGTAAAAGTAAATCTACGTTCCTCGAATCCGACGGCTTTCTCTTCGAATCTGAAATATTCGAAAGTTCGCCCTTCCATTAACCGGCGCCCCGGTCTCTGCTACAGTAAGGAAAAAGATAGCCCTCTCCTCCCCCCTTCTCTTGACGTAATTTAATAATAGCTTTCTCTTAGAACGTGCTCGAGAGGATCCGACCATCATCGGAACGTAACGACGCTGTAACTGTTATTTAAAGGGAGCCTGTTTCTTTCAGGGGCTGTGCGAGCGTGTGATCCGCCATTTTGTTACCCGATTCGGGAGTCGCGTGACTTCCGGGCAATCGAATAAAAATGTTCGCGAATTTCACTGTATTCGAACGCGTTCGAATTCAATTTAGCTGGTTTGACGTTTCGATTTTATTTGTTTTTTTTTTGTTCGTTCTTTTTCCGTCGCCACGAAGATTTCGTGTTCGAGTTTCAAGGGAGAAAGAAAATGGTGGATCGTTCACTGGTATTTACGTCCGCGCGACGACGCACGGGACGACGCGAGAAGTGATAGGTAAATGGTGTAAAACGCGATAAATTGAATATAATAATATATTTAAAGTTTAGTAACGTATTTAACGAACGGAAACCTGGACATTTCTCTTGTAACGTTGCATTGCGGCCGAGTTTTCCAACGGTGGACGCGCAGAACCGAGGAGAGACAGTTTGAATTTCGGCGCCGGCGAGAGCGCGGGAAATATTTGAACATTTGAATTCTTGTATCGAATTCGAGCTGTAAATACGTTTGACAGCGCAGTGAATCTTCTGAGCGGCTTCGGTACATGTGACGCGTTCGTTGAGAATCGAAGTCAACGTTCGAGTCAAAGTTATTTGAGGTTATCCTGCTTAAAAGCCGCCTTTAAAAATATAATAATTTAAAGGAACAAGATTAAGAGAGAAGTTTTATTCATTTTGACGCAATTATAAAATTGATTCGTTCCGTCGAGAATTCTTGGCTTTTATGTGGACAAACTGAAGTTCACGGTCTAAATTTCGAGGTTATGTCGCCGAAGAACAGTTCCGCGAAATGCAGTAATTTTAATAGACAAGTCCGACAGAAGTTCTGCACATTTTTTCATTGAAAGCGAGTTTCATCTAGATTATTCGTTTTCGCGTAAACGAATCGAGGTGCAAGGTCAACATTTTGAGGTTACGTTGCTGGAAAACACTTTACACAAATGAGTAATTTCAACATGTAAAAGCAACGGAAACTGTGTAAATTTTTCATTTAGATTGAGTTTCCTCTAGATTATTCGTTCTCACGTAAAAGAACTCTGTTATAACGTAAAATTTTGAGATCATGTTGCCGAAGAACAGTTTCAAAAAGAGGAATAATTTTAACACGTAAAACCTAAAAGAAATTCTGCATATGTTTCATCTAGAATAACTACCATCTTTACTTTTACACGCGAAAGGATCAAAGTTCACGGATCAAAGTTCATTTTAAGGTTATGTATCTAAACAGCAATTTAATAAAACTGAAAGTTCAGTGAAACAGTTGGAAACAAAATCGATCGAAATGCTGGAGAATAAATAAAGCAAGACCAATCGTACAATCGTTCGCGCGAGAGACATTGTTTATAAACAATGGATCGCCGCCATTGTGTTACGTCACAGGAGATTTCGCTGTGCTAAAGAACCGATCGAAATCGTTAACAATCGGCAGCGAGCAAAAAGAGCCCCCGGAATCAATTCCTCGAGCGGTGTAACAATATTCGAAGTTGTGCAACGCAGGCTTTAGGAGCATAGTGATCGCGGGAAACGACGAGGAAAGTGTACCATAGCTGAGGAACGGCTAAAGATACTCAACGAGACCGTGAGATACGTAAAAATGCGTCGAGCGTATCATTGGAGAGGTACAGTCCGCGGCGAAAGTACCCGACAAATTGCGATCCTTCTGCTTCGAGCCGATATCATTTTCACCAAGGACGGAAATCATTTCAAGAAATTTGCGTTTTTCGACGAAACGCTCGAACAGCCGCCGATTAATTCGAACCTTTCGTTTCGCGGATACTTTCGTCCGTGATTGTACTCGCGAAACTGGAGAATTCGCGGGATAACAAACAAGCGTGAGAATCGCGAAGCTCGTAACTATATTTGTAGCTCCTAAATAGTCACTCTATCAACCCTCATAGATAACTGTATAATTTGTAGTCGGATCGAAAAGCGATCGCTGAGAAATCCTGTCTACAGGGTGGGCGAAAAGTCACTTCCCATTCTCGCTGTGACCGAGAAACACACGGTGCGAATCAATTTGTCGGTAGGACAAATCGAAGCGTGGCGAAATTACGAGACGAGAGAGAAAGAGAGAAAGAGAGAGAGAAAGAGAGAGAGTGAGAGAGAGAGAGAGTGAGATAACGGTCTTTCCGAATTCGACGAATCTTCGCAATACGACGCACGTTTGTACAACGAATTTTTCTATCCGCCTCTGTGAAATCGTTTTCTTGAGTAAGATCGCTTGCGAGAGTCCGTCGTGCATGTGAGAATGATCATAACGAACGATCTGCAAGCGCAATTATTAATTAATGTACTCGATCGTACTCACACGAAGACGCCCGTAACTGTAAACATTGCTTCGTGGTTAAATAAATTATTGTATATACCTGAGAATATCGCTGCGGTCTCTTTTAATTCTCCCGCTTTCGCGCACTCGAGCCAACATCTCGAACGGTTTTAGAGGAAGTGAAAGATTCGCCGTGTTGGTGAACACCTTCTGTAAATGACGAACAATTATGTTTTTTTATGAAAAATAGCGTGACTGAAATTTTGTTGCCAAAGAGCAGATCGAGAGAAAAATAAGAAAAATATTCAGCAGTTCTAGTCATGCTAAGGCTATTTTGAATAAAATGACGGGAATGATTGAAAATTTAAACATATTTTTATTACAGGTTGAATTAATTAAAGCAACTAAAACCAGTTAAACCATAATTAACAAATATAAAACCAATAAATAAACTAATTATAACTAATTAAAATAATTAAAAGTAAATACAACTAATAACAATATATAAAACTAATAAATAAACTACTTAAAACTAATTAGATTAATATAATTAAACTAATTAACAATCAATTGAACTAATCACTAATTTGATTTAATTAAATATTAAACCTAAATTACTGGTTTGGAAATAAAATAAACTGAAAATTTGCGTTATTCTTTAAGTCTTTCAATATTTTACGATCTTTCACGCGGTCGTCCGACTTTTTGCTGCAACCATATTAAATAAAGTCGTGGGAATGTTTGAAAATTCAAGTAGATTCTTCTGCCATTATAAAACTTACTGTTTTGAAAGTTGAACAATTTACAAATTTACATTATTTTCCACGTGTGATTATTTTCCAGTGATCGCTGTTTCAAAAATTTCGCATAGTTTTTCAACCCTTTTCTGTAGCCGTTTCAATCAAACCAGAGGGAAAGTTTGAAAATTCATGTTTATACATGTGTCTACTACCATAAAAATTACTGCCTCTGAACATATTAAAAAAATTCGCACTCGGTTCTCAGCCACTGTGCTGCACTCGTATCAAACGAAGAGGCGGGAAACCGCGATAAATTCAAGCAAAAACCACCCTCGTCCCAAAAACTGTCACAATCCGTGACCTCGTGGACCCCGAATCCCTAGAACTACACATCGGAACTGCGTAAAAATCCAATTACGACAATGATACGAAAATTACAGACCTTATGCAACATGATTCGATGAGACTTTTATTTTGCAAACAAGCGGCCAAGTGAATTTTAATTATTTCCTGCGCGAGCCGACGCACGGTTCCGCTAATTGCGAAACTAAAAGCTTGGTAGCTGCTTGAAACTGTGAAATGAAATTCATTTAATCAAGTCGCCGCTTCATCTTCGAGAAATTACATGTTTGATTCGCGTGGATGGAGGGGTGCCAATATTAAGAGGCAGAGAGGGAGAGAGAGCCTCCATCTTGTTCAACGTCAACTGGAAACTTTTCTCTTCGCGAAAGCGTGTTTTACAGGGATTCAAGCTTGTCAAGCTCGTCTGCGTGATTATTAGCTTTTGCAGTACACAGCTGTTGCATCGATGCGCAGCGTCGGCGGTGATGGATCGTGTCGGTGGGGCTGCATTGTGTCGGCGGAGAGCCTTTGAACTCTGTCGTTTGTGTTGATTCTGCAGCAATATCTGAGATATGTTAATTATCGGTAATGACAACTTCAAGGCAAGCTTCTTTTTTTTCAGGTATTCATTAATATTTTTCGTAAATTCTTCCTAATTGACGATATATTAATAATATATCGATAATAGGATTATTCGAGTCTTGCGACTCGTTTTTATATTGATGATACTGATTGTCAACAACTATAAAAACGAGCCGCAAGGCTCAAATAATCGTATCTTCTTTTCCCAAATTGTACATTTTTGTGCACCATCTGAGCGTCAATTAGGGAGAATTTACTGTATCGTGCAATGGACGCAGTAGTTGCAGCAGATGCAACAAATGCAATTTTTATTTTTGTTGTTTGTGGAGTTATATATTTTACAATTGCGTCTGTTACGGTGGATAATTAAAATAAATGGGTGCAATTTGTATACATATGTAGTCTTATAGATATTACGCATTATACATTGATTTAAATATATATAATTATTAAGTACATTTATTTATAAATATTATTCAGTATTTATTGTGACAGGAGCAATTAATTATTTGATGTATTATGATTTCAAGACCAGTTTAGTAGATCGTTCTATGGATGTTAGCGCGTTGTTACAAAGTTGAAGGTAGTTCTTGGACTCAATATTTTCAACATTTAGGTAAGTGAAACGTTGACTTTTTAATTAGGTATATTTTTACGTTGGCATATTATGGTACATAGATGTGGAATTAGAAAAATTCGGAAAAATTTGTACGTATTACTAATCAGAAAAGGTCTGATTGAAAATTTTCTAATCAGAAAAGTCTGACATTATGCTATGAAATTGGTACATCGATAAATTATATTATTTAAGAAGCAGCTTCTTAAAGTTTCATTGGAAAATTCACAAAACTAGTCAGACCATTTAAAAGTCAATGAAAATCTTATTAGGAAAAACATTTAACAATGAATGTAACATAAGACAAATTCAAAACGTGTTGATATCGATATGTCACTTTTTAAGACATTGTTTCTAACAATTTTACATCGCATAAATATCGGACAAGTTTCTAAAATATGCGATGCAGAAGATTGCAAACTCTCGAGAATTCTATTTTTGCAATCCTCAATTTTGTGGAGAATTTTTGGGGATAAGTTTTGGCACTTAACGCGTTAATACTTCGATTTCTTTCTTGTTTTGGTTACCTGTAAGAGTTATGGTAATTTTGCCTCTAACATCTCAACAAAAATGGTAAAAGTTACTAAAGTTACTACTTAAGAGGTATACGAGAATTTTTTTTCACCCACTGTGTATGGAGTGAGACGAGAAGAAAACAGAGAGTAAGAGAGACATACAGACAGAAAGAGAGAAAGGAGAGAGAGCGTGAGAACGAGAGAGAGAGATAAAAATATAGAAAGAGAGGACGCGAGAGAGAGAGAGAGAAATGAGAGAGAGAAGGGAAGAGAGAGAGAGAAAGGAGATAGAGAGAGAGAGAGAGAGAGAGAAATAGAGAGAAAGAGATAAAGGAAATAGATTCGGAGAGACAGAGGGAGACGGAGAGAAAGAGAGAAATACAGAGAGAAAGAGAGTAAGGAGATAGATTCGGAGAGACAGAAAAAGAGTCAGAGGGAGAGAGAGAGAGAGAGAGAGAGAGAGAGAGAGAGAGAGAGAGAGAGACGGTGAGAGAGAAGAAGGAAATGAGAAAGAGAAAGACGATGAGAAAGAAGAAGGAAATGAGAAAGAGAGAGACAATGAAGAAGACAAGAAGAAAAAAATGAGAGAGAGAGAGAGACGGTGAGAATGAAGATAAAAATGAGAGAGCGAGAGAAAGAGAGAGAAGGAGAAAATGAGAAAGAAAGAGAGAAGAACGGGGTGGTAGCAGGGGAGTGAAGAGAGAAGGATAGCAAGAAAAAAAGAGATTCTTCCTTTATGGCGTTTAATGGGATTCTTCGCACTTCGGCCGGGCCTCCGACAAAGGGCCAATTTTGGTTCGGGCCAACAGGACCTCCTACCAAATTAGAAAGCCCCGGATGATTTATCGGCGAAGGATATTAAATTAGACGGAATTTCGAACTGGAAAGTAGCAAGCTCGTACTTTTTCGCTTAATAGCAATAATTGCCCGGCCACGGCGAAACATTGGAAGCATTTTTAATACCTTATTTACGAGCCCGCCGAGCGAATTCCGACCGACATTTCTTTTTCACCGGGCAGCTTCCTTGGAATCGCGATCTCTGAATATCGATCTATCCGTCGGTTAAAAATTCGAAACACGAGTTTCGTCCTTGCGCCGCGGGATCATTTCCAGAAACTCGTTTCTCAGTGAGCGAGCTCCGCGTTTTCATAAGCTGAACGCAAGATTTTTGCGAATGCAAGGACTTCGGCACGCTATTTTCTCGACGACGCCATTTTTTTAAAGAGATTGTAAAAAAGAATTGTAAAATCTTGCTCTTAAGAGCAGCGTTTCGGTTGTTCTTTGGATTCTGTTTGCGAGATGTTGCTGCGTCTACATTTTTCGGGACTCTTTTTCTGTAATTTCTGAGGACGAAATTTTTTCAAGAGGATCCTGGAGTATTTGTTTTCTCGCTGGTAAAAGATTTCGAAACTGAAGAGTTTTGTTTTTAATTTTATTTATTTATTGTCGCATCTGCTTAAGGGAAATTAGCGATCACTTGTGGGATAACAGTTGTAGGGTTACATATACAATAATAATAATATATACAATAGTTTTGCATTGAATTTTTACATTATTTTCTTAATCTAGGCTTCTCAAGTTACTATACGTATAATCTTGCTAAACTATTTGGTTTCTACTAAGTATGACATAATTTTTGCTGTTTGTTTGTAGTTGTTCAAACATTCTTTGACGATATTGGAAATATATACAGGGTGTCCCAAAAATGTCTCGCAATCCGGAAATGGCGGGTTCCTCAGATCATTTGAAGCAACTTTTTCCTTTACAAAAATTGTCTCCGAGGCACCGTTAATGAGTTATTAACGAAAAACAGTGACCAATGAGAAGCGAGTTCAGCTGGTGTAAGGCGACCGAGCCAATGAGCGGAACTGGGCTTCGTACGCTGGTTGGCTCGAGCCGTACTCGATTCTTATTGGTCAGCGTTTTTCGTTAATAACTCGTTAACGGTGCCTCGGAGACAATTTTTGTAAAGGAAAAAGTTGCTTCAAATGATCCGAGGAACCCTCCATTTCCGGATTACGAGACATTTTTGGGACACACCATATATATATAAACATAACAAATAATAAACATATATAACATAATAAATAATAATATAATACAGTGAATATAATATATTTAAAAATATATATAGAAAAATAAATATAAAAGTATATAAATACAATAAATATTATAATGGCTAAAGCATAAGCGACAAACACTTCTAACTCGATATGTACTGTCGGCGATACGATGCCACAAAACTTGGTACTAAACGTAACCTAAAATGTGGCGATAACATACCATAGAATTTAATACTAAACGTAACTTAAACGTTACCTAAACTGAACGAGAAATTACGATTTATAGTGAATCTAGCAGGTGTGCCAATACTTTCGGAGGGGGATGTGGACGTATGTCTGAGGTGTGGTGG